CACACACACACACACACACACACACACACACACACCACCTCTGCACATTCCCTGCCACACTCTTTACTACCAACATTCTTCCCCACAGGTGGGTGGACAAAAGATAAAGTTTCTTCACATGACTAACTGTTCATGATTCATGCTTTTTAATAAAAGGACAGCTGGCAGAAAAATAAGGATCCTGGGTCTTCCATCAAGAAAATAAATAGTAATGTAAAAAAGGAAAAAAGGATAAGGTTATGTGTCTGTATAATCCCCTAGGCTGCCTAGCATAACCTATGGAAGGCATCACACCCTAATCCTTATTCCAGCCTGACAGACCAGACCCCCATCCTTTCCCCTTTGGCTAGAGCTTAAATGCTGTGACCAAGTAAAGGAAACATGGAGAAGACATGTTAAATGGCCCCCAGGACCCACTGAGTTCAAGCCCATCCTTATAGAACCCCAATATAGGTTATGAACCATAGTACCCTGCTTCTTAGCAACTACCCTTCCCGATCTAACTGGTGAACACTGGGGTCTCTAGTCAAGGCCTCCTTGAACCTGGACCATTTCCAAGGTAGCCAGCACTTCTTGCCTTCCCACAGGTGGGAAAGTGAAAAGACCAGAGTCAGCCATGTTTCAAGGGGTGCTCTGACTACTTTCCTATCCCAGTTCCCTGGGATAGGAAAGGGACTTCCTCAGTCTACTTCCTCCAAAGAGAGAGTTATCAAAGCTGTCCACCTGGGAAGCCTTTCCCTTCCCAGCCCCTCCCTTCCAGCATCACCAAAAGGAAGCAGGAAAGCATCCGTCATTACAGCCCAGGATACTGCTTTTCCAGTGGCTTCTATCAGGATATCCCCTGCCTTTTCCCAGGAGCTTAGGGTCAGAAACCTGGAGGGCAAATGGTAAAACAGCCTGCTTCATTCCAGAATTCTTGGCCTCAAAGAGGCTCCTTTTCTAATTGATCCCAACCCAGTTTTAGGGCTGGTCAGCTCCCAGTCCATCCCAGAACAGGACAATTACATGACCCAGGGGACAATGTCCACCCTTGAGTGACCTCACATCGCATACCTCTGCTCAGGTTTCAGCCAGGCTTCTGGATGGGACTGAGTTGTCACCAACACCTCTTCTCCCCTGTATCTATTTCTCTCTCAGGGATGAGTATGTTTGGGGAGTAAGGAGCTGGGGAAGATTCCAGATGTATACATTGATGAACACCTTGATCCTTTTTCTTAAAGCCAGGTAAGGGCAGCTTCAAGAACTGGAAACTCCCCAGTTCAGCCTCTAAGGCCTTCCTACTCCCCTCTCTGCCCTTGGCAATGAGAACAAAAGAGGGAAATTTCAAGGTGATTTCCAGGTTTCCAGAGCAAACCCAGTTAGTGAGGATGAACGATCAGGATGTACAGTGTCAAGCAGGGTGCCTAGAGGCAGGGTGAAAAGGGCTGATTCTCCAGAGACCCTGTCCTCCTCTCAGAGACCTGAGGCTGACCTGCTTGCTGCTGCTGGGGTGTGAGGGTATGCCAAAGGGGCATGTGATGCAGCCAGGAAGAGAAGAAGCCAGAACTATCAGTCAAGTCTCTGAGCATCCAAGCCACCTGGCTCTGGAAGGGTTTCTTCCACTTCTCATTTGGCAAAGGCTTTGAGACAGAAACGATGTCCTCTGTGGTGCCCAGTACTGTGCGGAGCCTATGCCTTGTCTCTAAATAATAGATGCTTCTAGCTCCTGGCCTTCTGGGGACCCAGAGAGGAAGGTACCTGTGTCTGAAACAGGCCTGGGATGGTATGGGGTTTTGACTTTAGGTGTGTGTGTGTGTGTGTGTGTGTGTGTGTGTGTGTGTGTATCTCCTAGTCAGTTCCTAACCCTGGAACATATAAACAGAGAAAATTGTATGCAGCAGCCATGGGGAAGCTCCAAAGGCCATCACCAGCTGAGACATGGACATAAGTCAAGTTGGCAGGAGTTATCCTCTGCCACCTCCTGGCTCCCTCTTATACCTGTTGCAAAGCTCACTCTACCCCTGAAAGTGTCAGAAGGGACCAGAGATGAGTGTGAATTTTGTCAGAGGAGTAGACAGATAAGGGGTTGCCCCTGGAGGTACAAAAGGGTCCACTCACTTCTCCAGGGTACAGGTCAAAGATACCCAGTTATACAATTAGAGATTAGGACCCAATGAAATTGACCTGGGGGTAAGGCCAGGGAAAGGAATAGAAGGATCCAGAACTGTCTTTTGGACCCACCCCCACTCCTAAGTCTAAGGAGTTGATTTCAGAGCTCAACAATAAATTAAGCATAATTACAGCCCTGGTCCACCATCCTCTCTGTATAGCATCCCTCGAAGGGGTGGGGTAGTCCCAGACAGGATCTGGACAAATGTTCTTCATTCAAGAGTGCCCAGGCTCCAGAAACTCTGGTTACAGGGGTGACTGCTCAAGTGCAATAGGTGGGTCCTAGGCCCCAGTCACATGACTGTCAGAGGCAAGACCAGCAGTGGCTGGCTCAAGCCAAGGTGAGGCACCAGGTTAGGTGCTGAGCATGAGCCCGCAGGATAGGGATTAAGAAAGGAAACCACTGATGCCCAAAATAAGACTTTAATGTCCATATTAATGATGGACAGAGCACAAGGGGTGGGGGTGGGGGAAATAGTGACCAACAAGGAGGGCCCAGGAAGACCCAGGAAGCCAGAGCTGTAGAGACAAGATCCCAGGAAAGAAGCTGAGCAGCCAGGAAAGTTCAAGGGTGGGGACGGTCAGGGAGACAAGGACCCCAGTGACAGTAGTCTAGCTTCGCTAGGCTTCAGCTTCCATTCACCTCCTACAGTTCTCTTCCTGCTGGAGTCCAGAGCCTTGGGCCACTTTGTCCTTATCACTTTAAATGTCTTTCCAAGGGCTGAAGTACTGGCCCTGTGAAGAAGAGAAAAGCAGCCTGTAATGGTCTAGTCCCAGTACTGCCCTCTATCCATCCCCATCCCTGAATTGGTGGTGTCCATTCAACATCTACCAGAGAGGCCCCTTTCATACCAGGTGTTGTGACACTAAGACTCTTGAGGCTCAGAGACCAGATACAGTAGGTCAACAGGCTACTTGACCGAAGTGTCTAGAAGGCTCAGCTTGGGTGTTGTCTCCTACTACTACCGGCCCAAGGAATATGGGAGGAAGATGGCATCTGTGCACACTCAGCCAGGCTCCAATCACTTTGCTTCCTCTTCATGACAAGCAATAATTCCTACCAGAGACCAGTGGATCAGGGGAAGGTCCAAGTTCCAGCTTTCTGCTTCTCAGGGACTTTCGAAATCTGAGCACCAAGTACAACAGCCTGTGACCAGTGTGTCAGCCTCAAGTTAGGAGTTAGAGGGAATTGTAAGGGAGGAGTAAGGGAGAGGCAGGCTGGGAACAGGGAGTCCAGCTGTCTCTATTAAGGATTTGGGGGCTCAGGGCCAGCCCAGCAGGGCATGCTTATTGGAGAAATGGGGTGGTGGTGGAAGGGAGTGTGCAGATGGGGACTGCTTTGTGCCAAGGAGTGATGCTGGCTGTAAGCCCTGATTTTCACATTCACTCAAGCTGCTTGCATGATGGGGCAAGCTATTGACCCTCTGGAGCCTCTAGTTTGCACATCTGTGAAACGGACTTCTAATATCCCTGCCTCCTGAGGGTTCTTCAGGCTCCAGTAGAAAAGGTTCTTCACTCTGTACCTAAAATGTTATTACTGCCTAGATGAGCTGAGACAATTCCAAGAACAGAGCTTGCTCATATAGAAATGAGAGTGGGTGCTGTGGCTGTGAGGAGTGATAGGGCACTGCTTAGCATGAACAAGGTCCTAGGTTCAAGTACTACCTCCCCTCCCCAAACAAAACAAAACAGAGCAGCCTGGGAAATGCTCTTAACAAAGCAAGAAGCCAGCTGAGGTCTACAGGACAAATGGACAGGAGGTGGACAGCTGTTGCCTCTGGTGTCCCTTCCTGGCAGTTCATGACAAACTGTGTTGCTCAGCTCCCCAGGGCTGAGTTTCTCTTTGCATGTGTTAGCAGACAGGCCTCCGTATATTCCCTTCTGCATCCCCTCCCTGGGTCCTGGATTAAGAATGACGGTCCCCTGAGACGTCCCCACCCTTCACCACACTGCCCACTCCACCCTCTCCCTTTGGAGCCCAGCAGCTGCAGTGGGGGTGGATGGACTGCTGGACCTGCCAAGCCCCACAGACTGACCACTTCCCTTCCCTCCCAGGTCTAGGGGATTATGGGACACCACCTGGGGCTGACAGTGAGCCAGCAGGTCCTGCCAGCGGATGTAGGTCTGGGTGGCTAGGTCCTTGAGTTTGGTCCGGTGCATGGCCTGCGGGCTCTCCCGGATATGGGTGCTGATGTGGCGGTCCAACTGCATGCACAACAGCTGCAGCTCACCCTGAAGAGGAGAAGGAGGGGGCGTGACATACGCCAGGCATATTCTGGAGGCCAGGGCAAGAAGAACTAAGGCAGAGGGGAGTGATATCTCTGAGTGACTGCTGGGAAGCAGGGCAGGAAAGGGAGGAGAGGGGAAGGGCAGCTTCTTGGGGGACAGGTCAGCATCCCTTGGGAATGGCTTTTGAGAGGAAGAGGCCCTGGCCACCTCGCCACTTGTTTCTTGGCCTCTCACTCTGCAGTTTCTGATGGAAGGCTGGTTCCATCCTGGCTGTTGTGGTCCCACAATGCTTAATGCAGTAGATACTACTGGGTACCCAACACTTCCCTGCTTCAGATTCTTGGAAGACTCACCCATTGATCTGGAGTGATATCCTGGCTACTGACCACCACCCCAGCCAGTGTCAGGAGGCTGTGGCACAGATAACAGACCTAGAAAGAGAACACAACAAGGATGCTTTCTTAACTCATGGGAGCCTGTAAAGGGTCCTTGCTTCAGCACACGGCAGCAGCTTCCAGGAAAGCATTTTCAAGGAAGGCCTGCATGAACAGAACTTGGACTTAGAATCGTCATTGTCCCAGTAGGCTGTGCCCACATTCCTTATAACTAACAATTACCCCTCAAATGCCTACCACCTAGAAAGCCATACCACCCAGCCCTCCAGAAATGAAAGCCCAGAGGGTCTGTGTACTCCGACCTCTGCACAGCTGTTTGTTGAGTCACTTACACCTGTGGTCAGTGACTGAGGTGAAACTATCCCCTGTGCAACCTCCAAGCCTCCACCTTGGAGATGTGTCCCACAGTGGATAAGCAATGTAGAAACCCAACAGAGCACTGTTGGACATCAGTCCTGACAACAGACAGGACGCTGGTGAGGGAAGGGAGGCCAGTGGAAACAATATAGGGTTGCAGGCCTTCTCTACCAAGTCCACCCTCCTTCTTGCTACCACTTCAGAGATAAAAACCAGAACAAAGGCCAGGTATGATGGAGCATACCTGTAATCCCTAACTTGGAAGCAAAAGCAGGAAGACCACAAGTTCAAGGCCAGCCATGGCTACATAGGAAGACCCTGTCTGGAAAACAAAAGACAATATACAACAACAATGAGCACAAAAAAGAGACAAAAAGAAAAACAAGATAATTAGGACAAAGGCCAGTTCTATTGGGTGAGAGAAGGGACAGGCATGTGACACCCTGGGACTCTCTACTGCAGGTATTCATTTAGGGAACATCTGCCTGCTATGCAAAGAAAGTGTGAACTATGTAGTTCCTGACGGAGGGTTATTGACACCAGCAGCCTGCTCTTGGCATACCACCTCTATCTACACAGAGGTCCTTCAGCCCATCCCTCGGATCCTCTTCCATCTAAGGAGAATGGCTGTACACCTGAGATCTGTGGCAGATCTATAACCTTGGAGGAGAAAAAGGATGGAAGAGGAAAGCCCCCAGGATGGCCAGGAGGGCTCTCAGCCAGCACAAGGGCCCTCTGTGGATGGCTTTCTTGCCTTTACAATCCTGCCCTTTTGGATAGCCAGATGGTGGCCAAGAAACAACTGCATTATTTTTGCATGGTCCAAGGAACCTTCCCGAGAACCATTTCTGAAGATACTCAACTTGGCACCATGTACTAACTTCTTGAGGCCAATGTATCCTGTGGAGAAATGCCACCTGGGCTCCCAGCAGCAGCACTTGAAAAGACAAAAGTCAAAGCCTCCAGGAGACCTGACTCCTGATCAACTGGGGGTTATGGGGGTGGTGGTGGCTACACATGGCAACAAAGAAGAAACAAAGTGAAAAAGGGTGGATCTCCATGAGAACTATCATGGGGTGGGTAACATCCAAGCTTTCCAAACTGGACTCCACCTGCCACCCTGGCCACCTCCTCCCTGGGCTGACTACTGCTGGCCAACTCAGCATTAAACAGAGAGTCCTAAGGAACGCAGTAGACCCCTTTGTTTTTTGTTTTCCTTTTCCTTTTTTTTTTGGGGGGGGGTGTTTCCAGACAGGGTCTCTCTGTGTAGCTTTGGAGGCTGTCCTGGAACTCACTCTGTAGACCAGGCTGGCCTCGAACTCACAGAGATCTGCCTGCCTCTGCCTCCCGAGTGCTGGGAATTAAAGGTGTGTGCCACCAATGCCAGGGACCCTTTTGTTCTATAGGCTCAGGCCTGTACATCTCAACTTGACTAAGAGCTTCTACTCAGAGTGAGAAGCTTTGGGAGGCAATGGATGATTTGCTTAACAAATATCAAATCTCAGCTTCTCAGGAGACCAAAAAGGGAAAGAGTTCTTCTGCTTCTGGACAGTGTGTGGTGGGGGCTGCAGGGAGGAAGTGACTAAACCAGAGTAGGCCTCAAAAGGACAGGAGGATTTGAGGCAAAAATGGCCCTAAGGGGGCAGAGCCAGTAGATTACAACACCAAACAGATCCTGGGGCGGATGCAGGAGACAGGTGGGGCATAGGGAGGAGGCAGGGCTGGTCAGCCACGTAGTTAGCTGGGCTTGAATGGGAGTAAGGGAGAGGGCATGGCTAGCTGAAGAGACTGAGGAGGGTTGGGTTGTGTGATTAGAGGTTCCTGGGGGATGCGGGTGACAGAAGGTAGCAGTATCTGGTGTGGGTTGAACACACCAGTATGCACAGTCTTTCTGGGACAAAAAACTGCAAGATGTGTCTTTCATATTCTTTTTGCTGTCCTCCATACCGTGTGGTTGGTGTGTGTGTGGTTGGTGTGTGCCTGTGTGCGTGCATGTGTGCGTGCTAGAGACTAAACTCAGGAGTAAGTAAGTGAAGCATATACTCTTCCCCTGAGCTGCATCCTCAGCCCACATCCTCTTTCTCCCACTTATGAATATGGTACAGAGGTGGGGGATGGGGGTTGGCTGGGGAGATGGCTGCTGCCAACACCCCAGTTGGAAGGCTCACAACCACCTGAACCTCCAGTTCCAGAAGATTCCAATGTCTCTGACTTCCTTGAGCACCCACACTCTATGTATTTGCACATATCCCCCATATCAAAAATAATAAAAATCTGAGGGATGTAATGGTATATGCATTTAATAACAGCATTCATGGAAGACAGAGGCAGATGGATTTCTGTGAGTTTGAGGCCAGCCTGGCCTAGTGAGTTTTAGGCTATTCAGGGCTACACAATGTGCCCCTGTCTCAATAAATAGAAACATGTGTGTAATAACAAAGAAAAAGAAACCATGAGGTTAACAGGAAGCAAGGTGGTGGGTAGTATAGGAAAGGGTTGAGAGAAAGGGAAAAGGGAGAAAGTGAAGTGATTATATAATTTAATTAAAAAATAAAAAATATTTTAAGTAAATAATAAAAATCTTCCTTGAAAAGGGACTATTTCTGGGGCCTGGGGATATAGCTTATTTAATATAGCGCTTGCCTAGCACGCAGGAGGCCTCAGGTTCAATTCCTACTACCATAAAATTGGCCCTGGTGTCACATGCCTGTAATTCCAGCATTCTTTAGAGGTGGAAGAATCAGAAATTCAAAATTATCCTCAGCCACATGTGAGTTCAAGGAGACCCTATGCTATCTGAGACCTTGTCTTAAAAAGAAAAAAAAAATCTGTATAATATGTATACTTTATTGATAGAGTCAGAAGACACCTAAATTTGTTGGAGATTTTCTTACAGGGTACTGCCTACTTTAATTGATCCTAACTGGGTTTGGGGCAAGACAGGAACATGACCTCAGAAAGAAGCTGAGGCCCCTTTCTGACAGGGCAGAGCTCTGTCAGCATGGAGCAAACTGATGGTGAACGGTGGCAGAAAACCTCCAAAGGCTGGGGGAGCTGGGGGAGCGGCATTGTCTGGGGAAGACTGGGAACTACCCTCTAACGTGTAAAGGGATGGCTATAGGGCAGACAGGAGGGCTGTGGGGTCCAGTGGCTCCTCACCTCTAAGCCCTTTCTCTTGTAAATGCCTTTCTCTAGCATCCCCACCCCCACCTGAAGATCAGCCTGCCTCAAGCTCAATTGTGAAAGTCTTTGCACGATCTGGGTTGCAGGATTCATCTTCCTAGTGGAGGCTTGGTGGGCAGGCCTTAGGCTCCCTGGAACGCCCTGGAGGAAGACTGCTGGAGGAACAGCTGCCAGTGTTATTTACCCTGTGCAGTGGGAGCTCACTAAAGAAAAAAACTAAGCAGTACACAGATCCAGTTTCACAATACAGCTCTCACACTGATTCCCATAATTCAGTCTTCAAGGAAAACCCCAGATAATATTTATTTATTTATCTTTGGTCTGGGTGTGGGGAGGAGGAATAGGGTGTTCACCACATTTTCGAAGCTATTTCACCAAAGGAAAAATCCAAGTGCACTGCAGCCTGGGGGTTGGTGTTTTCTCCCTTCCAGAGAGGGCCCCCGAAGTTAGATTCTGACTCACTTGAGGTCTTACTTCTCAGGACAGGCAGATGCTGAGTCCCTGCCAGTGTTTTAGGAAGGGGAGGTGTGAGGGGAGGCTTGGATGTTGCTGAGTGGTAGAATTCTGGTCTAAGGTTCTGAGTTCTGTCCTTAGTCCCGCCAATGGGGTGGGGGGGAGACTGTCTCAAAAACCAAAACCAACCCAAAAGAACAAAAACACCAAGTTTCAGTGTGGACATGGGCCATGCCTAGCCTTCTCCTTTTATTTCCTCCAGACCAGGCAGGTAAAGGTCCCGTTTGTGGAGGGAGAGTGTTTGGTTCCTCTGTGTTAGTTAGGGAAGCAAAGCATTAGCTGGGACTAGGGGTTCTGGGCCTGGAGCACGCAGAACTGGGGACCCTTCCTCTAAAATGTCACTGCTTGGAGGACCTGAGGTGGGCTAAGGGTGCAGAGCAGGCATGCTGGGCAGGCCAGGGTCATCCCAGTAGGAGTAGGATTTATGTAAAGTGATGAGCCTCATTTCCCTTTCTGTGACAGTGACCAATTTTTGAATTTAGCAAGCCTGTTCCTGTCTTGGCTGGTACCACACAGTTAGTTAAGCAGGAAATGATGGCCAGAGGACAGGACATGGGTTAAGCAGCCCCCACCAGGTTACTCCTCTGCCCTTTTCCTCTACCTTTGGGACCACAAAGTGGTCTTTTCCCCCAAGCCAAGGGAGGCCCCTTCTAGACCTGTTTGTGCGTGTACATGTGGTGTGTATGGCTTTGTGTATGTCTACATATGTGTGTGTGTGTGTGTGTGTGTGCAGCTGGGGGTGGGGTCAGTATGGTTTTGGAGTCAGTCTTTCATGGTGGTGGGGCTGTAATATCCAGGCCTCATACCTTGTTTGGAGCAGCAGGACCCCAGCCAGTTGAGGAGCACAGACCCTCATGCACAAGCATGAATCCAGGCTAGGAAACCACAGAGAGAAAGAGATCCAGGAAAACTCAGAAGAGAGAGGCAGAGAGTGAAGAACAGGACGTGCCTGGACCCAATACTGACACGCCAAGGCGGTACTATCCCTGGGTCACATTGCCAGCAAGGTCTTTGCTTCCACTTCCTGGGTCTCTCCCCAGAGTCTGGTGGCAGGGCTCTTCCCAGAAATTCATTGTGGCATGTCTCATTCCTGCCCTCTCCCAAATCAGTTGCCAGGGATGAAAGGGTCACAAGGCTGTCATCCAGCAGACAACAGGCAGGTGTACCCCTGGTTCTGCTCCAGTTAGGGATCACTCAAGTCTTCTGGGTCAAGTGGAACTCATTTGCAAGTTTTCGTCAAATGAGACAAAAGGGAACATGGCTGGACATTTCCCAGGAACTTCATCCTTCAGGAAATCCCCTGCTGGCTAATGCCAAAGGGTCAGGCTGGGTTACTTAACCAAAGAGTAGAAGGGAGAAGCAAGTTCCCAGGAAGCCACTTTCTCTAAACCAGCAGCAGTTTCTCCCACCTCAGGTCATGACCAAAGATGCAGTCTTACCCTGAAGTCTTTAGATGGAGCCTGTAGAAGGGGACAGTAGACTTTCCGTGGGGAAGAGGACTCTGAGGAAGCAGGTTCAGCCAGGCTCTGGGAAGCTGCTAGGGACTGGGGAGAACGGAGGCTGGCCCAGGAGCACTGAGAAAGGAGGATGAGGGAAGATGATGAACAGGCAGTGGCTCTCTAAGCCACACTGCTGAGGTCCGGGGCTCATCCTGCAGGGACCACACCTCTTCAGCAGCACCAGGATGCCAGGACTACCTCCTTTGTTTCTGCCTTTGACATCACAGGCCCTGGCTGGTGGCTACCCTGGGGAACATGCATTCAGCTCAGTCTCTAAGGTCTGGAGGCTCAGCCCAGCCCGGCTTGACGACTGATCCCAGGAGGGCCCTGCACTGTGTGCCCCTCCTGCCACACGTGGGTCCTCTGGGGGGGGGAGGGGACAACAAGAGCACATGTGTTGCAGAGGAGCTCTAGAACCAATCCAGTGAACAGTGAAGCTGCACTGATCATTGGATTACCTGTGGTGACGGGCTGACCACGATTCATTTGCCACTTTAAAATTAAAGTCCAATGGGACATCCAGAGAAGGATTGGTGACCCTCTATGTCTTGGCATATATGGAAACTCAAGCTTGGGTAGATCTCCAGCATGTCCAGTTACGGGAGTCTTCCCCCTTCATCAGTAAAGGGTGTGTGTGTGTGTGTGTGTGTGTGTGTGTGTGTGTGTGTGTGTGTACATGCGTACACATATACATGTGCACTTGTGTAACCTTTCTAAATGGGGCTGACATGGATGTTCTAGAGACAGGACATAGAGACCAGACTATTCCTAGGGTAGATAGGGACATTAGCCTGGGCCCAAGAGCATGGTCCAGGTGCACCTTCAGGGGTTGCACAAACAACAACATCATTAGTCCTGAGTAATCCTGAGGTAGGGCCACTCACAGGCCCCAGGCCAAGAGCTTCAGCTTAAGGAGAGAAACAGTGTCTATCTTTCCTTCACCAAAGCACAGGACACGCATGTTTCTGACTACACCTTATCTGAACACTGGC